GGTGGGGAAATGGGGGACAATGGTGGTGGAACATGGACACTGGTGGAGGGATGGGTGCTGGATGACTGAAACCCAATTATGAACAGCTTTGTAATGGTCTATCTCATGGATGTCCAGGTAGAGGGATGGGTACTTGATCATTGTATAACTGAAACCCAAGCACAAAAATTTATAAGTCTATAACTGTACCACATGGTGTTTCACTAAAAAAAAAAAGTAACGTGGAGTTCATGCCCAATTTAATCAGCTTAATCAATGATTGAATAAACAGCAGTATTCCTACATTAATAGGGAAAAAATGGGTGCAGTATATGAGCATATTTCTTAACTAAGGTTTGGAACTCCTAGCGGCATTTCCATGGCTGCAACTCTCCTCGGGATCTCTAGATCTTTCTAGAGCTCCTTTCTGTGCTACAAATCCCTGGCTCCGGCCTCTATGTGGCTTTTCCCATCCGAAGACGTTTCCAACAATTCCTCTGCTAGAACAATGGCCAGGAGATTTCATGTTGCATCCGACCATCGAGGGTGAGAGGTGTCGGAGGACTGATCGGGGTCCCAGGCTCGCCATGACCCAACAGGCTCTGCCATGTGTGAGGAGGGAGGCCTCACTATCGGTGCCCCCCCACCCCTACACATAGGGGAAAGGCTTCCATGGGATCTGCCCTCGCCTGAGCCAGGTTTGGGGGGCACGAGGTGGTAGAAGATGGTTCTGGGGTGTGGGGGTATTGCAAAGCTCCCACCTAGATGGAAAATGGGTCATGCCGGGAGCATGCACCACCATCTCTCACCCCTAATCTCTATCCACTTCCTCCCATTTCAGTCCCCTTATCAAAACCCCCTTATTCAGCACAGAGATAAAAGAGGGGTCAGGAGTCAGCAGCAATAAGAAGCATCTTTGCTAGAACCTTTCACAGGGAAGAACAACTAAGAAGTCAAGGTTAGTCACTTCCTGGGGAATGGAATCAGAGTAGTTCAGACTGACGCTTTCCAATCACATGTGCCACAAGTTCCCTTTTCTGTGTTTTCTGTGTTGTTTGAATTTTCTTTTTCTTGGGGGGGGAGGGGAGCATATCTGGCAGTGCTCAGGGGCTACTTCTAGCCTGAGTGCTTGGGGTCACTCCTGGGGGTGCCGGGGTTTGAACCTGCAGAGCAAAGCGCATGTACTACCTACCCTTAGTCTGCCCCTACCTTTTAATCTTTTTTTTTTTTTTATTGAATCACAGTAAGATACACAATTACAAGGATGTTCATGATTGGGTTTCAAGCTATCTCCCTGGCCCCTAAATTCCCCTTTCTAGAAAGTGGTCGGCGACCCTCAAGCACTTTTAGATTTCATCCTACCCAGAGTGATACTGACCCTAAGACGTCTCCTGACTCTCAAAGCTGCCAGGGGAACACCCAGGGTCTAAAACAACATCGCTAATCCCACCGATTGGCACCCTGGAAAGTGGTTAGAATGGCAAATGTGATGGCACCTATGTTTCACCACACTTTTAAGAGTGATTCACCCAGAGCCAATGAACTGTACACCTCAATCAGATGAACTGGGCGGCACCTATGACAGCCATACCAGTAATGCTGTAGGTACGGAGAGAGGACAGAGGGATGGTGTGCAAGGAGTACTGCCCCGTCCCAGTGTGCACCCACCCACAGAATACAGAACACTCTGGTGCTGCCTCTCCTGGTGAACAGCTCCCCCGCCCCCATCCTGGCCCTGGCTTAGAAAGGCGTTTGCTTTCTGCTGTGCAAATTGATCTAGATGAAGGACAGTGCTGAGCTGCTTCACAGCCTACCCTTACGTCTGCCCCTACCTTTTAAATATCTTTTTTTTTACTGAATCACAGTAAGATACACAATTACAAGGATGTTCATGATTCGGTTTCAGTCATATCATGTTCTCACACCCAGAATTCGTTTGTGTGTGTAGACTCAGTGTTTCCTTTCTTTTTTCTTTCTGTTTTTCTTTTTTTTTGGGGGGGGCACACCCAGCGGCTCTCAGGGCTAACTCCTAGCTCTGTGCTTGGGGGTCACTCCTGACAGGGCTCAAGGGACTCTTTGTGGTGCCAGGAATGGAACCTGGGTTGGCTTCATGTGCCGTACCTGCTGTTCTGGCTTTCCAGCCCTGTGAGCCTGTCTTTTTCGGGATATAGGCTACATACCATAAAGGTTACACTCTTTTTTTTTAAGTTTAAAATAGAGTTCTGAAAATATCACCATTTCAAAACCCACTAGCACTGAGGAACTAACTCTCTTAGTCATTGAACACTCACTAACTAGCGTCCTGTCTGCAGAGTGGCTGTTCTCCACAGACGCTTCATACGAATGGAAACCTGTGACAGGGAGTCCCTTCTAGGACTGGCTTTTGTGCCTGAAATTTTTAGGATTCATCTACAACCAAGCTCCATGCTTCATTCCTTTTTTATCGCTGAATAATACTCCACTGGATGAAAAAAACTTTGTGTTTCTCCATTCATTAAAAGGCGAGCACTGGCTTAGCCCTACGTAACCTTCAGCTGAATGAGCTGCTGCTATAAACACTCGTGCCTGTGATTCTCTGGAGATGTTTCCTTTCCTCTTGGGAATCTACAGAGGAGTGGTACTGGGTCGTCTGGTAACTCAGGTTTAACCTATTGAAGCTCTTCCTATCTGTTTTTCACAGAGTGGTGGCACCATTTTACATTCTACCAGCCATGTAAGAGAGTTCCACATCCTCAAAAACACTTTCTTATATTAGTATTTTCTATCACAGCCACATCCAGGTGTAAAGCAACACCTGATTCTCATTTTGATCCACGTTTGCCTTCTAGCTGGTGATGCTGAGTCTCCTCCCATAAGCTCAAGGGCTACTGGGTCTACTTTTGGAGAAATGTCCATGTTGGATCGTTTGCACATTTTTTGATATTGGAGCGATAGCACAGCGGTAGGATGACTGCTTTGTGTGCAGCCAGCCCAGCCAAGCCGGGTTTGATTCCTCCGCCCCTCTCTGAGAGCCCAGCAAGCTACCGAGAGTATCCCGCCCGCACGGCAAAGCCTGGGAAGCTACCCATGACGTATTCAATATGCCAAACACAGTAACAAGAAGTCTCAAAATGAAGACATTACTGGGCCCGCTCGAGCAAATCGATGAACAACGGAAGGGCAGTGTTTGACAGTGTTTGATTATAAAATTGAATAATTTATTACTTCATTTTTTGTATGCGGTCTTCTTTTAAACAATTATTTTCTAGCTACACATCTCAGATGTATGACCTGCCAATATTTTATCTTCACCCCATCCCTTTCACTGGGCTATAGCACCTGATGAACACAAGCCAAGTTCCTCATGGCCAGAGCCATAGTCTAGTGGGTAGGGGCGGCTTGCACACAGCTGAACCAGGTTTGATCCCGAGCCTGCCAGGAGTGATGATCCCTGAGTGCAGAGCCAGGAGAAAATAATGAACACCCGTCTCACCATCCCCCCCCCTACAAAAAAAATCAAGGCTCTTCCCACCAAGGTTTGAGAAACACACCTAACATCTCTTTTTTTCCCGGGGGGAGCATGCAGGCTTGGGGACATCGCTGTCTAGGAGGCCACAGTGAGCACATTGTCAGAATTTTTTTTCTTTTTGGGTCACACCTGGCGATGCACAGGGGTTACTCCTGGCTCTGCACTCAGGAGTTACTCCTGGCGGTGCTCAGGGGACCATATGGGATGCTGTGAATCGAACCCGGGTCGGCCGCGTGCAAGGCAAACGCCTAATCCGCTGCGCTATCACTCCAGCCCCTGCTCAGAATTTCGACCCCACTTCCCCCTTCCTGCAGCTCGCTGCCCTCCACCACTGCTTCTCAACGACACATCGCTCCTATGTCCTAGCGTCCTTCACCCAGACTGCCCTCCCCCAAACCTCACTCCCTCACCAGTGGACTCTGTGCAGATGTCCTCCTTCCTAGGATGCCTTCCCTGAGCACTTTATCTGAAGCGCCACCTATCACTCCGTTTTCCCCTCTGGCACTGCTGTCGTGCTTACCCCCCTCTGCTATGAGACTCTCCATCCCGTGAGGGGCAGAAACACCAGCTATCCCATGAGTCACTGCTTCTCACGCGCCTGCGGTTGGACATCCTGTAAGAACTCAACAAATAGATATGAAATATCATCTGCTTCTAACTTGAAGTGCTACAAAGAGTCACACATTCCCTCAGGCACTTCAAACCAAGTATCTTCCTCAATCCCTGTACAACCCTATGTTGGGGTCGGGTCTCCCATTCTGTCCCCTTCCTAACAGCGGACGCTTAATGGAGACTGGAAGTGCCAGGTCTGTGGCTTCACCGACAGAGGAGGCAAAGCTTGGGCACACGCAGGCAGAGAAAGCCACAGGACCTTCGATCGCACTTCTCCCAACCAGAATTCCCATCCTGCCCCTCCCTTGGACCTCAGTATCTCTCATCAGTGGCCTGGGAACATTTTCTTCCTTGCAAAATGGGTCCCAGGAGCTCGGGAACACTGAGACAAATATCCAACTCATGACGAGTCACTGCCATGAGGATGAAGATGAGAGGGGCGACACCCTCATCACCAAGGTGGGGAAGACGCTCTGGATCCAACAAGGACAGAGCTGTGGGCTAACACTGGACCAGCGCCTCTCTGGTCTGGCACCATCTGCTTCCTTTTAGACTCTGGCTTGGCTCTCACGGAGGAGGGCCCAGTCACTGATGCTGCAGTTAGCCAGATGTGTGCGGGATTTCCCGATCATCCCTGCAGGGCCTGGAGAACTTTCTAAGGCCCCAGCAAGGAAGGATGCACTCGAGTCTCTGGGAACTCAGGTCTCTGGGATCTAGGCTGCCTCCACGAACCGTGGAGCCAAGTCAGACAGCAAACTCCTGCCCTACTTGCGTTGACAGGTGCCCTCTCCCACCCGGGGTCCCCCAGGACAGCTTGCCCACTCCATGTTCTGGAAAGAGGGTGCCACCGCCCACAGGCCGATAGGGCAGGAGGACCCCAAGGGGAGGACGGTCCACTCACCAGTGTGTGCCTGTCTGTGCGTCTCCAGCGCGTCCTCCTTTGAAAACTGGGCCCCGCACTGGTCGCAGACGAAGGCTTTGGCCCCCGCTGAAAGAAAGAAGGGGCAGTCAGTTACCACTGCAGTCCTGGTCCCGGAAAACGAGGAGTCGGGGGGGTCTGGGACAAAACCAAGCAGGGGGACACTCGAACAGGGGGTGACTGGTGGGGGGCCTGGATGCCAGCCCAACCTCCCCCACGATGGTGCCCCAGCATCTCCCGAGGCCCTGTCCATGCCAGGGAGAAGAGGGATCCGAACTAGAGGAGCTGAGTCAGACAGAGGGAACAGCCCCAGGAGGACCGGGATTCTGAGGGGCTGGTGCCAGGAGGCAGGCACAAGAACGACAAATGTCACGACTAAACCCTGAGCCCTGACAGCACTGAAGACAGCAGGACTCAGTTGCCTCCTTCTCCCAAGATAACCCTGGCCACTGGCTGTCCCCAACCTCGCTGTCCCTCCATCCAGCCACCTCCCGCACCCAACCCTTGACAATCCCGAGAGATGCCTGCAGCTTCAGGCGTTGCGTGTCCCAAGCACCACGGTGACCCGGGCACCTCACTGTGGTGGTCCCCAGGCTCCCCAGCCCCACAGTGCCCTCAGGTCCAGCCTGAAGGAGATGGGCCCTTCCTCACTGCCAGGCTGCAAGTACCATCGCAGCTCCCCGCCTCCAACGCTCACGTCTGTCCCTTAAGTAGGAGCCTCTCCTCGTGCGCCCCTACCTGGGTGCAGCCAAGCCAACACCCCCCGGGTCTCGCTCTCTCCTGCCAACTCTCTGGGGCTCTCCTCATCACACAGAAGCTCCCCGAGCTTCCCGCACAACTCCCAGACACACTTGGTCTCCCGCATGCCTGCCTCGCCCCATACTGGGTAGGGGACATAAGTCCTCTCAGTAGAAACAGTGCAGCCCAGGAGACCCACATCAAGAAGATCAGACCCCCTTCTGCAGGAGCCTTACTGGCAGGCCCCGATGTCCAGAGAGGACATTTTAAAATTGTATTTTTATTATTTATTTTTTAAATTTTATTTTATAAAATAGTTCACAATATTCGATTACACTTAATATTCAAACCCCAATCCCACCACCATTACACCTTCCCACCACCATATTTTGGATGTTTCCATCCCAAACCCCAACCCCAGCCATAACCGAAATAATATATTTTATTTTGTTTGTTATGAAAAACGGCCGAAAATGCTCCAAAAATGTTCCTTAGAGGAAAGAGTGGGACGACTGTTGCATTTCACCCAGGGGCCATTAAGCCCTTCTATAAGAGACCACTAACATGTTGTTAAAGATTGAGCCGTGTGTGTGTGTGTGTGTGTGTGTGTGTGTGTGTGTGTGTGTGTAGGCTGGAGCGATAGCACAGCAGGTAGGGTGTTTGCCTTGCACGCGGCCAACATGGCCGACCTGAGTTCGATTCCTCCACCCTCTTGGAGAGCCCGGCAAGCTACTGAGAGTATAGTATTCAATATGCCAAATACAGTAACAACAAGTCTCAAAATGGAGACGTCACTCGGCCTGCTCGAGCAAATTGTTGAACGATGGAAGGACAGTGTTTATATATATATATATATATATATATATATATATATATATATATAAATTTCCCTCTAAGATTGGTTGCCTCCTCCTTTCAACCCCATCAAATGTGGTGCTCTTTGAGTAGGGGTAGGATTTATAGCATGAAGTCTCTCACGGCAGCTAATGAGGCTGCATCCAGGAACAGGTTCACTCCTGGGGAGAGCGGCCATGAGCATGGTGGTGGTTGAGTTCTGGAGGTTTTCGGCTGCTGGGGCTGGGTCACTTGGGGCAGGAGGGCTCTCACCCATCCCCCTCTGGGGCCCCGAGTGGAACAGCCTGGCACAGGGTCCAGTGGCGTGGTTATGGCGAGTGTCATGTTATGCACCCTTCTGGGAGAGAAGGACATGTGATCTGGATGGTGGCCGATGCAGAGAGGACTTTGTAACCCCTGCCCTGAGTTCTCTCAAGGCAGGAATACAGCACAGAGCTTTAGGGTGCCTTGTGAGCGCCTGACTTTGGCTCAATCCCCAGCACCCCATGGAAGCCCCCCACTGCCCGCTGAGCATCACTGAGTATAGCTGGGAGGCCCCCAAGCACCCATCCTAATGGGCGCCGAGCACCTCCACTGAAAACGTTTCTCCCATACATGACATCAGTCGAAGGTCATGGGGGATTTTCCTCCCACAGGTCTTCCAGATGTGTTTCTTCACCACGTGCTGACATCATGGCCCCCTGACCCACCTGACCCAGGCCCCTGCAGTTCCCAGAACACTGGGACAGGTAGGATGATGCTGCCAGGACCCCATGCTCCCTCTGACCCACCCTGAGAGGCCTCGAGGCTTCTCAAATCATCTTTATTTTTTTTTGTTTTTTATGTGGTTTTCATGATGATTGATTACAGGCATTCAATATCCCAACACCCATCCCACCACCATTCCACCTTCTCTCCATCATTGTCTCCAATTTTCCCAACCACCCCTCAAGCCTGCCCTCACAGCAGGCCCTCCATAATTTATTTTATATTGATTGTGATTAATAATTTGCTAATGGAATAATAATAATAAAAAAGCTTCCTTAGAAGAAAGTTAGTGAAGATTGTTGGATCTCACCCTGGAGCCACTAAGACCGTGTATAAGAGATCACAGGGATGTCGTTCCAGGTGAAGACTTCTGTGTTTATATTTTGTTCATCAAGACCGGTTGCCTTCTGCATGACATCCCGTCCAATCTGTTCTCGCACCTTCTTACACAGGCAGCTGCCGTGGCCGCATGTACAGAGATTCAAAATCCCTCCACGAGGCTTCAAGCACGTCCACTCCTCCCTCCCCCCCAAGCGGGCAGCCCTCTCCAGAGGCTAACTCTGGGCTCCACCAGGCCCCCTGAAGCGCCACGCCTGAGAAACAGGCCCTGCCGTTGTCAAGACAGTGCACGGCCTCCCCCTCGCATCTCTGTCCTTCAGGCCTGTCAACGCCGCGGCTTAGCACTTCTGTGTTTGTGTTTGGACTCTGCGTCTCGCAACGGGGAGGGCGATTCCTTACACATATCCGTAGCCCTGAATGCTGTTTCCAAACCGTCTCAGACTGCCAGGACTATGCCATATGTCAGACACGAGGTTTCCCCTTCACCCAAACAGCCGTTGCTAAAGCATTCCCCTTATCGCGATGCTTGGCAGATGAGCAGACATGCGTGCTCAGAGAGGGTAAGCAGCTTGCCCGGTGTCACACAGAGGTTCGAGAGAGCTGTGGATTTCACGCAGGGAGCCTGATTCCGGAGACTTCTGTTCTCTGTACCTGCAGTCTCCCGAGGGCTCCACTTACAAAGACACTTCGCAGACACGAAGACTTGAGGTTCCTTTTGTCTCAACCCACCCCTGCCCCCCAAATTTCTGACTTACTGATCTCATTCATGATAGATTGTGAGGGGACGTATCCTGTGATGTGAAGGGGAGCGCCCTCAGCAAAGCCAGGGGACCAAGTAATCTTGGGGATCACACACGGGGTTTCTGCGTGCCAAGCACGCATGTCAGCCTTTGAACTGTCTCCCTAACCCCACGCTATCTACCGTGTGTAAAATCTACTGATGGCAAAGTCTCCACTGCCTTTTCACCCTCTTTCCCACCTCCATGCACCCCGTCAGAGATCAAACCCAGGGACCCACAGGTAAGAGGCAGGTGGATTCCACAGAACTACATCCCACACCCTGGTTCCACCACTTTCTTTTTAAGATTTAAGAAGCCATGCCTCAGAGTATTAGTGCCCCTTAGGAGCAAAATTCAGAATACAAGTTGTACCAGTTTTGACTTGAATGCCAACCAACAGCCCTTTCTAGGGAAGGACAGAGAGATGCCTTGGCAGATCTAGAACATTAGTCTTATGAGGAAAATAACTTGCCCCCAGTCCTCACACCAAGCAGGATAGACCATCTAGAAGATGCTGGACACATAATTAACCCAGGAAAGGTGCGCAATTACTTTTTCTGAAGAGCTGAAAGATAAACACCGTTCTGGAGCCAAAGAGACAGGACAGCGGACGGGGCAAATTGCCTCGCATATGGCCGACGGGAATTCAATCCCCACCACCACGTACGTATGGTCCCCCTGAGGGATGTGGCCCCAAAACCAAAAATAGAAAATAATAAATACTGTCAGTTGGGGTTGAGACCTCTCTGGAGACAGGGAGAATGCTGAGATGCGCCCCCATGACCTCCCCACCCCCCCATCCCGCGTTCCTTCAAGGCTCAAAGGTCAAGGGTCAAGATTTCTCAGGTCAAACATCTTCACTGGCTTCCAGAGCCTCAAAGGAAGGGCAGAGAAACTTGGTGGCAGTGTGGTGACAAAGTGTGGTCTTACCTGGGTGTTGGGGGGAGCGAGGCCGCCTTCCCTCTGCTTGGAAACGCAGCAACTACTTCAAAGAACAGAGTAGGCAGGAGGGGAGAGACGAGAGATGGGGGTGGATGAAACCAGGCCCCCTCCCCCCCAACCCCGATTCCCCAATCATTAGCCCACAATGATTTGCTGCGGATCTGTAAGGGATCTGATTGTAACTGTGTTTCTTTCTGCGCTCGATCGGCTCTTGGGGCTCTTGGCTGAAAGGGAAAGGAGAGTCCTGGGGAGGAAGGGAGGGAGGCCCCGCTGGCCCATCCAGCCGAGAGCCTCAGCCGCACCTTCAAAGAAATGTGGTAGGAGGGTTCTGGGCCGTCGATGCCGGAGAAGTCCCGGAGCTTCAGTGACTGAGAAGCTGAGTGAGGGAGAAATAGGGGGCAGGTGGGAAAGAAAGGACTGGAGGCCGGCCAGCAGGCACAGAGGCAGGCAGACATACAAGCATGCATGCGTGGGTCCAAGGGGGCAGCCTGGCCAAGCCTGACCACATCGGGTTGTCTCTGCACCCCCTGTCCCCCCCGCCCTGTGCAGTTCGCTCAAGTTCCAGAACTGAGCTGATTGTAGGAAGGTTTCCTGTGTCCTCAGCAACGTCACTGGGCGATCGAGGCTCACCCTGCCATCCCTGCCTCCCAGGGCCCCCCAGACTCGCCC